TTTATCTTTCAATTTGTGTATGTGATGTATCACGTTTACTGATTTGCGGATACTGTACCATCCTTGCATTCCCAGAATAAATCCTACTTGGTCATGGTGTATGATCTTCCTGATGTGCTGCTGGAGCTCATTTGCTAGAATTTTGTTGAGGATTGTGGCATCTATATTCATGAGGGATATTGGCCTGTAGTTCTCTTTTATTGAGTTGTCTTTATCTGGTTTTGGTATTAGGGTGATGCTGGCTTCATAGAAGGAGTTTGAAAGTGTTCCTTCCTCTTGAATTTTTTGGAATAGTCTGAAGAGGATAGGTTTTAGTTCTTCCTTGAATGTTTGGTAAAACTCTCCTATGAAGCCATCTGGCCCTGGGCTTTTGTTTGCTGGAAGCTTTTTGATGACTGTTTCAATTTCTTCCTAAGTCACTGGTCTGTTGAGATTTTTAGATTCTTCCTGATTGAGTTTTGGAAGGTTATATATTTTTTAGGAATATGTCCATTTCCTCCAGGTTGTCCAGTTTGTTGGAATAGAGTTGTTCATAGTATTTTTTAACATTCTTTGTATTTCAGTGAGGTCTGTTGTTATTTTGCCTCTTTCTTTTCTGATTTTGTTTATTTGGGTCCTCTCTCTCTGTTTCTTGGTGAGCCTGGCTAGAGGTTCATCAGTCTTGTTTATCCCTTCAAAATACCAACTCTCAGTTTCATTGATCTTTTGAATTGTTTTTTTGGTTTCTATATCCTTTATTTCTGCTTTGATCTTTATTTTCTCCTTTCTTGTGCTTACAATGGGCTTTTCTTGTTGCTGTCTTTCTAAATCTTTGAGGTGTAGTGTTAGATGATTTATTACCATTTTTTTTTAGGTATACCTGTAGTGCTTGCTGTAAGCTTCCCTCTCAGGACTGCTTTCATTGTGTCCCATAGATTTTGGATTGTTGTGTTTTTATTGTCATTAGTTTCCAGGATGTTTTTATTTATTTCTTTATTTTCTATTATTTTTTATTGTAACAATTATTAAAGCACATTGTTTATTTCTTTTCTTTTAAATTTAATAAATCTTTATTGTTCAGATTATTACAATTGTTTCTCCTTTTTCCCCCTATAGCTCCCCTCCACCCAGTTCCCACTCCACCCTCTGCCCTTACCCCCCCTCCCCCGCTGTCCTCATCTATAGGTATATGATTTTTGTTCAGTCTCTTCCTGTACCTCCCACACAGACACCCCTCTCCCCCTGAGATTAATCAATCCCCTCCCATTCTATGCCCCTGTTTCTATTATATTCACCAGTTTATTCTATTTCTCAGATTTTTAATTCACTTGACTTTAGATTCACTTGTTGACAGATATATATTTGTTGTTCATAATTTTTATCTTTACTTTTTTCTTCTTTTTCCTCTTTTTAAAGAATACCTGTCAGCATTTCATATAATACTGGTTTGGCGGTGATGAACATCTTTTGCTTTTTCTTATCTGTGAAGCTCTTTATCTGCCCTTCAATTTGTTTCTTTTTAATTTTATTGATTTTTTACAGAGAGGAAGGGAGAAGGATAGAGAGCTAGAAACATTGATGAGAAAGAAACATTGACCAGCTGCCTCCTGCACACCCCCCACTGGGAATATGCCCTCAACCAATGTACATGTCCTTGACTGGAATCGAACCTGGGACCTTTCAGTCCGCAGACCGACGCTCTATCCACTGAGCCAAATCGGTTTTGGGCTGCCCTTCAATTCTGACTGATAACTTTGATGAGTAGAGTAATCTTGCTTGTAGGTTCTTGCTATTCATCACTTTGAATATTTCTTGCCACTCCCATCTGACTTGCATAGTTTCTGTTGAGAAATCAGCTGTGTATGGGTGTCACCCGCCACTAGCCTGATTTGTGTGCCTCTGTACCTCAGCTTTTCAGCATTTGTGCTCCTTTCTCTTTCCTTCTAGTTGTAAGACTTCCATTCAGCCTGCTTTCCCATGGTTCTGGGTGATAGACGTTTTGTCTTTTAGTTGTAGTTTTGAAATTGTTGTGTGAGGCAGCAGTGTAGTTGTTTACTTTTGCCGCTATCGCTATCTTGGTTTCTCCACCATGTCTGTTTCTTCTCCAGAATGTTTGTTTTTAAAAATATATATTTTATTGATTTTTTTTTTACAGAGAGGAAGAGAGAGGGATAGTTAGAAACATCGATGAGAGAGAATCATCGATCAGCTGCCTCTTGCACACCCCCTACTGGGGATGTGCTCGAAACCAAGGTACATGACCTTGACCAGAATCGAACCTGGGACCCTTTAGTCTGCAGGCCAACGCTCTATCCACTGAGCCAAACTGGTTTCGGCTTCTGGATGTTTTTAATTTCTTCTTTGATCTCTTTGGTAACCTAAAAAAGCAATCCCATTTACCATGGCACCAAAAAAATTAAGATACCTAAAAGTAAACTCCTAGAAGTAAGGAGGTAAAAGACCTATACGCAGAATACTACAGGACATTGAAAAAAGAGATAGAGGAAGACAATAACAGATGGAAGAACATACCATGTTCATGGATTGGTAGAATCAACATCATTAAAATGTCCATACTACCCAAAGCAATGTATAGATTCAATGCTCTCCCCGTTAAAATACCAACGGTATATTTCACAGACCTATAACAAACTTTCCAAAAATTCATCTGGAATAAAAACCCCCAAATATATGCAGCAATCCTGAGAAAGAAGAACAAAGTAGGTGGAATCTCAATACCAGATAGCAAGCTGTATAACAAAGCCACTGTTCTCAAAAAAGCCTGGTTCTGGCACAAGACATACAGATCAGTGGAATAGAATAGAGAACCCAGAAATCGGTCTAAACCATTATGCCCAATTTTCAACACAGGAGGCATGAATTACACATAAGACAGGAAACCATAAAAATACTAGAGGAATAATCCACAGGCAGCAAAATTGCAGACATATGCCAAAAGTACTTCTTCACTGATATTGCTCCCAGGACAATGGAAGCTAAAGAGAAAATAAACAAATGGGACTACATCAAAATAAAAAGCTTTTTCACAGCAAAAGATACCATCAACAAAACAACAAGAAAGCCCACTGCAGGGGAGAACATATTTCCCAATGTTATCACTGATAAGGGTTTAATTTCCCACATTTTCAGGGAACTCATGCAATTTAACAAAAGGAAGATAAACAACCCAATAAAAAAATGGGCAACAGACCTAAATAGATACTTTTCTAAAGAAGACGGAAGGCTGAGGCATATGAAAACATGCTCAAAGTCACTAATCACCAGAGAGATGCAAATCAAAAGGACAATGTGGTACCATCTCACACCTGTCAGAATGGCTATCATCAACAAATCAACAAATGACAAGTGCTGGTGATGATGTGGATAAAAATGAATCCTCGTACACTGCTGGTAGGAATGCAGACTGGTACAGCCACTGTGGAGAAGAGTATGGCTTTTCCAAAGAAAACTAAAAATGGAACTCCCATTTGAGCCAGTGATCCCACTTCTAGGAATGTATCCTAAGAAACTAGAAACACCAATCAGAAAGGATATATGCACCCCTATGTTCATAGCAGCACAATTCACCATAGCTAAGATTTGGAAACAACTTAAGTGCCCATCAGTAGATGAATGGATTAAAAACTGGTACATCTACACAATGGAATACTATGCTGCAGTAAAAAAGAGAGTTCTTTTTTTTTTTACAGTGAAGAGCACTTTATTTATTTTTATTTATTTATTTATTTATTATATTTTATTGATTTTTTTTGCCTCCCTCCCTCCCTCCCTCCCACACATCCCCTCCCTCCCCAGAGTTTTGTGTCCATTGGTTGTACTTATATGCATGTATAAAAGTCCTTTGGTTGATCTGTTATCTCCCCCAGATCTTCCTCCCCTCCCTGCTGTAATTTGACAGTCTACTTGTTGATATACTGTCTCTATATCTATCTTTTGGTTCATCAGTTTATAATGCTCTTTATTATCCACAAATGAGTGAGGTCATGTGGTGTTTCTCTTTCATTGATTGGCTTATTTCACTCAGCATGATGTTCTCCAATTCCATCCAGGTTGCTGCAAATGATGAGAATTCCTTCTTTTTTATGGCAGCATAGTATTCCATTGTGTAGATGTACCATAGTTTTTTGATCCAATCATCTGCTGACGGGCACCTAGGCTGTTTCCAAATTCTGGCTATTGTAGATTGTGCTGGTATGAACATAGGGGTGCATATATCCTTTCTGATTGGTGTTTCTAGTTTCTTGGGATATATTCCTAGAAGTGGGATTACTGGGTCAAATGGGAGTTCCATTTTCAGTTTTTTGAGGAAACTCCACACTGTTCTCCACAGTGGTTGCACCAGTCTGCATTCCCACCAGCAGTGCACGAGGGTTCCTTTTTCTCTGCAACCACGCCAACACTTGTCGTTTGTTGATTTGTTGATGTTGGCCATTCTGACAGGTAAAAAGAGAGTTCTTACCATTTGCAACAGCATGGATGCAACTGGAGAGCATTATACTAAGTAAAATATACCAGTCAGAGAAAGATAAGTATCACATGATTTCACTCATTTATAGAATGTAATGAACAACATAAACTGATGAACAAAAAACAGATCCAGAGACACAGAAACATCAATCAGATGATCACACCTCAGAGGGAAGGTAGAGGAAGGTGGGGGTAAGAGGGAGAGATCAACCAAAAGACTCGTATGCATGCATATAAGCCTAATCAATGGACACAGACACCAGGGTGCTGAAGGCATGAGTTGGGGGGATTGGAGGGGTAATGGGGGAATAAGGACACATATGTAACATCTTTATCAATAAAGAAATTTTTTTTAAAAAAGAATGGAGACTTAACAATTCCTGGAATTTTCCTTTCACAGAGCCTACATATTGCAGATCTTCAGGTGACGTGTAGGGTAACTCCCTGATTCAAACTTTGAGAACCCATGTCTTAACTTCATTGCTTTAAGTAAAAGAATAGTCAATTCTCATGCCATTTTTCTTTTGTCATAGAATGCTTCAAAGAGGCTCTGCAGATAATGAAAATGATGGAGGGCCCCAGTTTGCAGAAGTGTTTGTCATTATCTGGTTTGGTGCAGTTACCATCACCCTCAACTCAAAACTTCTTGGAGGAAATATGTGAGTATTATTAAAATCTATCCTTTCTTATTTTTTTAGATAGCATATCTAAGATTTTTAAGGGAGCCTGGCTAGTTAGGTAATATTTTTTATTTTTATTGATTTTAGAGAGGTAGGGAGAGGAAGAGAGAGATAGAAACATCAGTGATGAGAGAGAATCATTGATTGGCTGCCTCCTGCATACCCCTTACTGGGAATTGAGCCTGATACCTGGGCATGTACCCTGATTAGGAATTGAATTCTGACTTCCTGGTTCATAGGCCGGTTCTCAACTAATGACCTTCACTGGCAGGGCTAGTTAGGTAATTTTTTAAAAGAAAAATCAAAATAAATGAGGGATAAAGAGGATGTTCTCATAAAAACCACTGAACAGAGATAACTTGGTTGAGTTAAATTATCTTAAATTATCCAGAGTCCTTTGATAAGCTTCAGATGCTCTCTCCAGCTCTAAAATCATAGGCAGAATTTTTGTGTTAAAGGATTATGTCCATTTTGGGGAACAGATGGTCCGTAGCTTTCAACAAATTCTCAAATAGGTCTATAAACTTGAAAAGATTAAGAACTTTCTGAGAGGTTCAGTGGGAGAAAGGTCTTTAGGAATTAGAGTAGATCATCTGATATCCTAGATGGTTGACTCTTAAGGAGTTTAAAAGGAGAGAAGGAAGAGTATGGAGAGAAATTAAAGCATATGCTAATGCAGAGGCCTAGCCTCATAAAGTTAATTTTAGGGTATAGGTATTATATAGAAGTCTGTAATAACTATCATGATACTATGTTTATGATTTTTTATGTGTGCTTTGTTTTTTAGATCTTTTTTTCAGAGCCTCTGTGTGCTGGGCTATTGTATACTTCCCTTGACAGTGGCATTGCTGGTTTGTCGGCTGGTACTTTTGGCCAAGCCAGGACCAATAAACTTCATAGTCCGGCTTTTTGTGGTGATCGTGATGTTTGCCTGGTCTATAGTAGGTAAGAATGTACTTTTTTGTTTTGTTTTGTTAACCCGAGGATATTTTTCTATAGAATTTTAGTGAGAATGGAAGGGAGGGGGAGAAACATCAGTGTGAGAGAGACATATTGATTGGTTGCCTGTCACAGGAGTCAAAATGTACTTATCCTTACAACAGCAGAGCAGAAAAAAGCGTGTGTTAGAGATAAAGATCAGATGAAAAGCAGTGTAACTCCTAACTCACATGTAAATAATATGATTCTTGACTATGTTGTCCATAGAACCCTCTGTTCTAAATGGGCATTTTAAAATATGATATCCATCTTATCTGAATTAGGTATCTGGACTTCTAAAATGTGGGAGTGATCCTTTAAAAAAAATATTTTTTATTGATTTCAGAGGAGAGAGATAGAAACATCAATGATGAGAATCATTGATTGTCTGCCTCCTGCATGCCCCCTCCTGGGGATGGAGACTACAACTCAGGCATGTGCCCTGACTGGGAATCCAACTGTGACCTCCTGGTTCATAGGTCAATGCTCAAACATTGAGATACACCAGCAGGGCGGAGTCATACCTTTTTTTTTTTTTTTTTTAATCCTTAAATATTGCATAGGGTTGGAAAAGGAGATTACAGTAGACCTAGCTCAGTCGTGGTATATACACAGTGACCAGATCATTATGCATTCAGAGATCATAATAATCTGGCCACTCAGTGTATAGGAAGCATAGGTGACTTGAGAAATGCTGGGTCTTTTCCTGACAGAATAAAAATAATAACTAGCATTTATATATTGCTAATCATAGATTAAGCACTATTATAAGTGATTTATATGTATTATCTCATTTACCCCTCACAATGACCCTAATAAATAAAAACTATTGTTAATAGTCCTATTTTTATAGATGAGGAACAGACTCCAAGAGGTGAAGTAACTTGCCTTAGGACATATAACTACTGAATAGATAAATCAAGTTTCAAACCCAAGCAGATCACATTTAGAACTTTACTACCTCCCAATATAGGTTGTTAAATATCATAATATAGCACTTTCCTGCTTCAGTAGAAAATTCTGCTAAAGATTAGGAAGAATCTATAGCAGTGGAATTGAATGCTATGTGCTGATTGTTTTAGCATTCCTAAAATTATCTTAAAATTCTACTTTATACTAGAAGTGTTCACTGGCATCTTATTAAATGAGATAAACAGTCTGCCTAATATTTTAAGTGCAGTAATATCTCTTTGCTTAGAAAATAGTTAAAAGCCAAGAAGTAATAATAATTTAAAAAAGGTTTGAGAGGGCCAGAATTGATTTTCCAAAGACTGTTTATTAAGCTTGGGTGCTTTACCTATGGGAAAGTCCCAGAATTCTTCACTTAGAGTCTGATAATTTATCATACATGTGGTTCTGAACCGCTTAGGTATCCAGTATCCAGGCCCACAGCAGTTCAGAAAGTAGAATTTTGGAAGCATTCATTCTTTAATTCAGCAAATATTTATAAAGCACAAATTATGTCTTAGGCACTGTGCTAGGCATGAACTCTGTCTTCAGAGTCCACAGTCCAGTGGATCAGCTAGACATATAAGTACGTAAAGACTATATAGTTTCAGGTGGGACATGGAAGTCTGTGTAGGCACAAAAGGGACCCAGAGGAGGGAAGTGGGCAGTTTTACATGAGCTGGCAGAATACCAGCTGGTTGTTCAGGAAAGGTTTCTTAGCAGAGTGATCATTGATAATTAGGTGTTTTCTGGGTAGACAAGAGGGATGGCATCTAAAAGAGCTAACCTAATAAAAAGAACAATTACTCAAAAGACCCAGCAGTATATGGCCATTTGCCATAGTAGCGAAAAAACTTGTACATTATTGTAAGCCTATTCATCACAGTTTAATGATATCTCGGAAAACAGTAAGAGACCCCTTTTGGAAGGGTTTCCATCTGAAATGTTGAAAACTTGCAAAGCTTTGGTACTTGAAACAAGCAGCTCTCAGCTGTCAGGAAAACTGTGCTGCAGAATGCCTTTTTCTCGGATTTGCAAATATAAGTGAACCTTTAGTATAACTCTATGCCAGACACATTAAAGTTAGTAAATGTTAGTAGTTATGACAATCTCATTGTATTCAATATTCTTTTTTGTTTTGTTTTATTTTCTCCAGCCTCTACAGCTTTTCTTGCTGACAGCCAGCCTCCAAATCGCAAAGCCCTTGCCATTTATCCTGTTTTCTTATTCTATTTTGTTATCAGTTGGATGATTCTCACCTTTGCTCCTTAGTAAATCAGGAAATGGAAATTAAAAACCACTGAATTGAAAGCTCATCTGAACAATGTAATTCCCCATGGAACTTTGCCTCTGTCTTTATTTTGTCTAATTTTGGAGGTATTTTGTAACTGGCTATGTGAAGCACTGTCACCACTTATGTAAGGAACTGATGTTTGAAAGGCTGTTCTTTTTATCTACTCTTCTCTATTTCTTTAAAATACATGTGCATAGTAATAGTATAATGTTTTCTAAAGGCATGATAGTGGACACTGTGATCCATTTGGGTGACTACAATGACTTGGAAAGCACATGGATACCTCCCACAAGTTGAACAGATTTGGTAACTTATTTTCAATTTTGAGAATACTAGTTTAGGTGTAGCTCTTAAACACATTGTCTTAAGACTATTAGAATAGGCCTCTCTTATTAGAATAAGTAAGTCTATGTCCATTTTCTTTTATTTCTCTCTTACGTTTAAAAAGACAATGACAGATGATGGCAGATGGGGTTCATATATGTGGGAGAAGAAAACATGCATTAACCTGTATTCAGATTTTGATCATAGAAAATTCTGCACCTGTTGCTTTAAATAAAAGCAAAAGACACTTAAAGAATTAGCTTATTTCAATCTTTCTGTATCATCACCTTACTGCCCTGCTTAACAGCAGCTCAGTGACAATATAGTTTTAATGTCTTTAAAAAAATATGTTCTTATTAATTTCAGAGAGTAAGGGAGAGGGAGAGAGAAATATCAATGATGAGAGAGAATCATTGATTGGCTGCCTCCTGCACACCCCTACTGAAGATAGAGCCCACAACCCAGGCATGTGCCCTGACCCGGAATCAAACCTTGACCTCCTGGTTCATAGGTTGATGCTTAACCACTGAATAATACCAATGTGGCTCTAGTTTTAATCTTATACCCTTGCTCTGAATACACAAGTTAAGATGTTAGCAACATGTAGTGTTCCTTTAACTGAAGCTCTCAGTGGTCCAATGCTTGAATTTATCCAAGTAGAACTCCTCCGAAATATAGTTTAGCGGTTCCTTAAGGCATATGTGGGCGCCTTCTCCTAAAGGTAGAATGAGGAAGTTTAAATACAGCATAGGTGTAAAGAATTCTTTATTATTCTGTGTAGTATGGCCTACATTAAAGCATGGTGTAGGATGAATTGGCTTTACAACTGCCATCTTTTCATTAGATGTGGTTTTAGGGGTGGAGAATAGCAATTTATTTTCTTGGTTTTGGACTATTTGTAAAGCAAATTAGCTCTCCTTAGACATGTGCACTTACATGTATTCTTAGCTATTTATGCACACAAATGTGAAGGCTTTTCAGGGAGTAGAGTGTCTGGGGCAGGCTGATTCTAAGCTAAATGGAGTTCCTTTAATGTAATATGAGCTGCTGCCTTCTACAAATTGCACACTGAAGAACTCTGAATAGACAAAGACTAGGTATCAGGCAGAAAACATTTATTGTAAATATACAATTACTTAGACAGGAATTTCTTATTCCACATTATTTCTTTAGCATAGAACTTATTTATTCATTTTGTATTTAAGGACTACCTAAATAGAGATATGTGATTTTAAAAACATATATTCTCCATCCTCAAATTAACCAGGGGAACAGTACTTCGACAGTTAGGTTCTTAGAATGATATTCAACTACAAAAGCATTACAAAGTTAGCCCCCTCTGTCCCAGCCTAGGCTAACATTTTTGTATTTATTTCAAATTCCCTTTTAAATTTTAAAATAAATCCTATGCAAGGACTAAGCCAATGCTTTAGTTAGGTAAAATCAATATTTTGAAACTGGACCTAATTTTGAAATTAGTCCTAAATTATCATCCATATCAATTGTCTGAAATTTTCTAACTGCCACTAAAAAGATCTCTGTTCCAAAGTTGTTTTATAATCTGTCTCAGTGATTATAATGTAAAATTAAAGAAATAACCATGCTTCTCAAAAAACAAAAACAAAACTAAGTATCAAATTTTACTCAGGCTAAATATTTGGTGAGAAATTCTTAAGGCCACAACTCTGAGGAATTTGTGTGTGTACATATGGAAAAGGGTTATACATAGTAGGTGTGAAGGCAGTTTGTTCTGTGTATTAATCTATTGCTCTTGGGTGACTTAGCAAATGGGTTTACTTGATTTAAATGAAGGTGAAATGGAAATTTAATTATCTTTCTGAAAGTAAGTAGTCAGTTTGAGGGTATAAATATTTTCTTATACACAAAAAGTGCATTGCTTTCTGTGACAAAACAGCTTTCCCTGATTTGCTGCAAAGGCACATGGCTAATTTATAGAAAGGAGGACTATAAAGGAAGGGGACTCCAACAAAGGCAACTCTGTTACAGGAATTGGGAAGTTTCATACTTCAGATGAAATTACAGTGTGCGATTTATCACTTGCATCATGGCTTATCACTTGCTCCTACTTCTGTGATAGAGACTCATTGCTATATTCTTTAGCAATAGGAATGGTTAAGACTGGATTTAATCACTGTCCAGGTTATAAAAACTTAATTGATGCAAACATATTTGAATATGCAGTATAGTCTTAAAAGTCAGTCAGTCATTGTTAAGTCTTTTACCTCTTACAAGGCTTATTACATGGGTTGCATTGGGTCTTTTCATTGTGGCAGGGGTTTTCTATTGGACAAGGTGGAGCCATAGGACATGGGACTGAAAGCATTTTTCTGTTGACTACAGTTGTCTTTTTATAAAGTACCCTCTAAATGTGATTAGAAGGCTAGCAAGCCTGTATATGAAGACTTAATTATGTCATTTATATATTCTATTTACTGGACTTTCTGTTTACTCCTGGAGATGAATGAAAATCTCTAGTCATTTCAAAATTTTAGATAACATCTAATCATTGGAATTTATCTAAAGCCTATCATAATGTGATCAGATGTCCATTGCATGTAGCTGTTTGATTACAGACAAATAGTGAAATTGTGATTCTCATACTGTTAATTTCTGAGGCAATTCAGATAGAAGTAAATGTGTGAATGTTAATCCATGTATGTAAATTAGAAATACTTTTGTAGATTCTGTGGGCTTTTATTAAAAATAAAGAATTTTTAGGGATTTACTTAGGCCATAGGATGGCCAAATAATAATGACAATAATATTACTACTAATAATAGCTAATATTTATTGGGCACTTACTATGTGCCAGGCACTATTCTATTTTTTAAAAATTTTTATAGCTTTATTAAGATCCCTTAATCATAAAATTCATCCTTTTAAAGTGATGTACAAATCAGTGATTTTTTTCAGTATATTTATATAATTGCAACTATCACCACTCTCGTTTTATTGGGTCGGCAAGTAAGTAAGTGCGGATTTTTTAAAGAAAATCAAAGACAATTTTTTCATGGAACTAAATAACTTTATTCTGTAATGTATTGCCCATTTTGATCAATGACCTCTTGCCATCTTTCAGGCAGCATCATAATCCCACGTTCAAAAAACTTCTGGTTTTTATTAGCAAAAAACTGAATCAGGTACGATTTGACATCATCATCATTATTGAAATTTTTACCATTCAAGGAGTTTTGTAAAGATCGAAACAAAAAGTAATCAGATGGTGCAAGGTCAGGACTATATGGTGGATGTGGCAAAACATCCCAACCAAGCTCCATTAATTTTTGCCGAGTGACCAAAGATGTGTGTGGCCTTGCATTGTCATGATGGAATACAACACCTTTTCGATTTGTCAATTTGGGCCGCTTTTCTTCAACTGCATTGTTTAATTTCATTAGTTGTTCAATGTAGACATCAGAATTGATCGTTCGGTTGGGTGGTAAGAGTTCAAAGTAGACAATTCCTTTGTAATCCCACCAAACTGATAACAAAACCTTCTTTTGATGAATATCAGCTTTTGATGTTGTTTGAGTTGGTTCACCTGGCCTGCTCCACGATCTTTTCCGCTTGATATTGTTGTAAACAACCCATTTTTCATCGCCAGTTATCAGTCGTTTTAAAAATGGATCATTTTCATTACGTTTCTTTAGCAAATCGCAGCTGCTAATGCGTTGCGTTAACTGTGATTCTTTCAGTTCGTGAGGAACCCATGTATCGAGTTTTTGAACATAGCCAAGTTGTTTTAAGTGATTTTCAATGCATGTATGTGATACATGAAGCTTCTCTGCAATCTCACGTGTTGTACTGTGACAGTCCGAATTGATTATTGCTTTGATTAGGGCGTCATCAACTTCAACTGGACAACCAGAGCGTTTTTCATCTTTGAGTGAAAAATCACCAGAACGAAATTTGGCAAACCAATTTTGACACTGCCGTTCTTTTAAGGCTTCGTCACCATAAACAGCACATAACTTTTTATGAGCTTGCGATGCGTTTTTCCCTTTGTGGAAATAAAAAATCAAAATATGACGAAAATGTTCCTTTTGATTTTCCATTTTTCAACGAATGCCAAACGAAAACTACAAAACAGATCAAAAAACTTTTTTTACTGATTAACAGCTGAATAGCCAACTATCAAATAACAAAATGTGTTTTACATTTTTACTACGTCTGCAAACCTAAAAATTCAACTGAAGCCATATATGTGTGAAACCCGCAATTACTTACTTGCCGACCCAATAGAACTTTTCATCACCCCACAAAGAAAATGTATATCCGGTTACTACCTATTTCTTTTCTCCCAAGTTTCCTGCAACCACCAGTCTGCTTTCTGTCTCTGTTGATTTGGCCAGGCACTATTCTTAAGTGCTTTTTATGCATCTCTAATTCTCAACATAAAGAACTACAATTCTCCTTTTTTACAAGCAGAAAATTGAGGCACAGAAAGGTTAACTATATTAATTTAAAACAAAAAAAAAACACACCAAATTAGATGAGAACATAGTTGAGCACAAATTTGAATTCCATTGTTGAGTACTTGAAATGAATATACTTCTTCCCCAGGGTAAGTTCTCTGTTATTACCCATTATATCCTACAACTGACTGAAGGTAGACAACTCTCAATCTTTTTTTCCTGAATATGATAGAATACTATATTAGCAGCCTCTGAGAAAAACACAAGGGAAGTTGTATATGGGAAGCGTTAGGTTTACCGTCTTTTCCCCTCCTTGAACCCCTTTCGTCTCCCCTCCACTTCCACCATGACCACACATGTATACCCCTCCCCGTTTTTCTTTTAAAGTCTTAAGGATAAAACAACTCTGCCTTTTTTAAATTCTCCCAGAGGGATGGTTAATACATCAAAATTTCACTTGTCTGTTCAGGTGTTTATAGTCAAAGGATACATCTGGTTGCTTATAATACCCGTTATATTAAGACCTCAGAGAGCAGTAGTGTGAGAATAGAATGCCTTTTTTTTTTTTTTTTCATTTGAGTTAAACTAGGAGGGGGGAAAGAAATAACAGAGTAAAGGTTTTGCCTTAATGAAGTCAGTGTTCCTGCGGCCTGGTAGGGAGTGGCCACACACTGCTCTTGTTTGCTCTGTTCTGTCTTTCTGAGCTTTTGTACTCCGTGCCATTCCTGTTGGTAATGTTTTGGAACCATTCACTCCGTGCCATTCTTACTGGTAATGTTTTGGAACCATTCAGTGCTCCACTTTAATCCTGATCTTGCCTATAAATAATGAATCTGTAAAATAAGGACACATATGTAATACCTTAATCAATAAAGGAAAGAAGAATAAATGTGTAAAATTATTTATGAATGTGAAATGTGCAAATAAACACTGGAAAAGGAGACTTTGTGTTTCC